TTTTTTTTCCCTCCTTCCCTCTTTTCCTCCCTCTTCCCCTTTTCTTTTGATCCGGAGTTTCTGCCTCAGAACGGGGAGAGCCTGCCCGCCGCGACACCGCCGAGTGGGACGGGGCACGAAGAGCGATCCGGGCTGGCGAGTGGGAGGGGGCCGGAGCGCTGACAAGCACAAGGTTAAATGTTCGCTGCCCCAGAGAGGTGCGTGGGGAGGGAGCTCGCTCCTGCACGCTCGTCACATGCCTCCGGGCCCTCGGAGAATCCCTCTCCCGGCAGCTCTTTTTTCCTCCGGTTTCTTGAAGCCCTCCGAAGCAAACTGATGTAGTGTTATTAATGGGGTCTGGTGCTCCGGTGGGAAAGCGCGTGTGTTGGGGAATAGAAAATGAACTTACCTAACTGGTCAGAGAGAAGAGTAGAAAGACTTTCCTCATCCCTCGCCCCCCTGTGCACTTAGGTTAAAAGGTTAAGTAATGACCGAGGAATTGAACACGAGTAATTTCTTACTGGTGTGTGGAACAGGGTTTGTGTTTCTCCCCGACCTCACTTTCAGGGGTAACCTGCGTTGCGAGAGTCCCCCCAGTTTTGCTCAGCTGCTGGAGGAAAAGGGAGGAAGGGCTCTTAACATCTCTGTTAATACCCCTTAATAAAAATAATAACCGGGTGATGTCTTCATGCCGGTGACTCTGTCGGGGGGTGCCTGCCAGCCCGTGTCTTTCCGTGTGATTGACAGGCTGCCAGCAGGATGCTGTCTCCGTTGCAGGGGCGAGAGGCACAGGTGAGCTGCGAGGAGAGACCGAGATCTGAAGAGGGTTTCCTAATAGGGGTGTTTGGGCTCTTTCAAGTGTCTCAGATGTACTCATTAAACACGAGGAGCTCAGGGCTGGCCTGACAGTGCTGTAAGGAAATGAAACTAGAACCCTTGATTATCCAGACAGTTCTCAACAGCCTCTTTCCAGGAGATTTCATGAGTGGCTGTGTATAAAAGGGAATAATGGTGGTGGATGGGAGAGGTAAAGAGGAAATTAGTGCGGGGTGCACTTAAAAAAGGAGCAAAGTAGGAAACAAACCCCTGATGAGAGGAATGCGAACATCAGAGCAACAAGGTGCGGTAATGCCTGGGAATCTCCTGTGCTGTTGATGGAGTAGTTATACTCAAGGAGATATTATGGTCACTTTTAACAGTGCACTGGAGAAATGAGGGACAGAAGGTGAGACTCAGAGAAGAAACTCTTTTTATGAAGAGGTCATTTTACCTTTGTAAGTTTCTTTCTGCCTGATTCAAATGGGCTCCACTTGCCTGCTCATCTGTGAATGTTAAAAGGGGATGCTGGACCTGCATAGGTTACAAATGGACTAAAATGGAAGCTTTTGCTAACTAAACCAACTCCTTTTGAAATCAAGCTTGAATGAGCTTGTTAATAAAAAATGGGTCTGTTTTACTCCCATAAATGGGCCTTTTTTTTTCTCCTTTTATTTTTCTTTTTCCCAGAAGCCGGTCTGATTTTTACCATCTAAAAATCCCCACGTTGTGGCTACTGTCCAGTTCTCCCCTTGATTTAAATGGCTTTGCCATGTAGAGTTTTTCTTTGAGGGGTTCTCTTTTGAGGTCTCTGGCAGCGCTGGGGGTATTCATAGTTATTATTGCATAGAGAAGGCAGGATTTCAGGATTACCCCTCCCAGAAGTCTTTGTGCATCTCAAGGAGGACACTTGCTGCCTTGTAGATGTGTGCCCCTTGCTTTTGCATCCCTAAAGGCTACTTGGGAAGCTGGGCCATGGCCATTGGCCTCAGAGGCAGCTGCCCATTCTTGCAGCTCGGGGCCTTAGGGCTGTGTGCCAGCCCCAAAGTGACGCCAGGACTGCCCCAGCGGCGCGATAACTGCGGGTTTGTGTTTCCACCCCGCGTTTCTGAGCAAAAAGCTTCCTTGGCAAGCACGCTCCGTGGCGCCGAGAAGTAGCAGAGAGACCCAATAATACTTTTCTGTGGGTCTTCACAGATATCATTGAGGACGAAGGGGCAGACTGAAAAAATAACAACAATAATAATGTTTCTGACTTGATGCGTTGTGGCATGGCGTCAAGTTTTGTCAGGGAGGTAACAGCATTTTGTATGTTTGAAGTGACATAATGTAACTTGACTGATGCAACATGACTTGATATTAGAAAATACTGGTTCACCGTGGAACTTTGGCAGGTATCTTCCCCGAACAAACGTTAGGAACTGAGAGAAGAGGGAAAACGTTAGGAGCTGAGAGAGTGGTGGGGGAGAGAGAGGTTGAGAGAGAAAAACTTCAAGGCCCGCATTTTAGTCAGTTCCACTGTGTAAATCACTGCAGAATTTGCTGTGGGCAAGCCAACCTACGCAACGTGCAGCGCATTTATAAATTTCGAGATAATGAGAGTTAAGATATTTCTCAAATACGTAAATGTTTTGATCGCAAAGACCAGATTTCTGCTTAAAAAAGTAAACTGACATCAGGTAGCATGATTAATTCCAACAGATTGTGTTATTTGTAGTTGAGTTAAATTGCTGTACAAATGTGTTGGGGGGTTAGAAAACTTTTTTTTTTTTTTTAATTGTTGGTGTGTGAAATGAGTAAGCAGATAAAGTGTTTTAAAAAATCTGTTTGCACAGGGAGTAATCCAGCCTCTATGACATGATGGAGCAGTAAAGGAATAAAATGCACACTGGTCTGGTACTGCATATTTTTCTAGAGTGCATTATATCTGCTAGTTTGCTCTGCTGCAGAAGTCAGCCGTGACAGGCAATGGCTAACTTCATTTTTTATCAAAACCTTGCCTTTCTTTTAGTTACCAGGTAGTGGAAGTTGAAATGTACCATGTATTTTGGGGTAAGTCTGTCCTTTTGAAGGTGGTAAGGTTGAAAAGTACACAGACAGAAAGACGGAACATTTTTGGAGTTCGCCGTTTTCTGATGGAGGCCAGTAGTATATTGAAAGTGCTGAAGTGCCTCAAATCTAGAAAATGCCCTGTTTTTTTAAATTTTTGTGTGGATGCTTTTAACTATTAGACTTTAATCTTTGGGATAAAGTCCTCCTCCTTTTTAGCTTGTAACACTTCCTAAAAGAAAATGATTATTTATGGTGGTTGCGCTCTTACGCTAAAAAACATATTCAGTGCTTGCAAACTAATCACTAGGAAACAGGAGTTGTTGGAAGCACTAGATGAAAACAGTTCAGTGTAAAACGATACATTTAACATCAAATATTCTCAAGGACTTTTAGGATTAAGTATTGTGAATGAAGGGGGAAGGAAAAGGCACTTCAGCTGGGGATAAGGAATCTAATTAAAAATTGGTATTAAGGATATATAACTTGAGCCCGCTATCATGCTCCTTAGATCAGTTGTAAAGGGGAGGAAGAAGTATCATTAAAGCAGAAATGAAATGTTTTCTCAGATTTGAAGACTGAGATGGGTGAAACGGTGCTGTTGATCTTGGTAGCGAAGTGTCTGATCCCTCAGTCCTTGCGAGGGCCATTGGAGACAACAGATGACTTGTCTGAAAAAGGAACAGGAGTTGCAGGACGAAGGATAAAAGATGTGGGCCCCCAACTTGTCACTTTTTATTTGAGCATCGATGGCATTTCTGAAAAGCGCAGCAAACCTGTTAAGGGTCTGCATCGCGTTTGATTAGGGAAATTCACTTTAACATCGACCTAGTGAAAACGGAGCTGCGTTCTCCGGAGTACACCCTGAAACTAACACCGTCACGTGAAAACAAACCCCAAAATATTTGTTCAGAAAAATCAGTATCAAGTTTTAGGTCACCAGAGACGCGTGAAACGGAGCCGGGCAGCGGCGGTGTAAGGCAGCCGGAGAGTTGTGAGCCTGTGCGAGCTGCCGTGTGGCGCCAGCCACGGCCCCGCTGGCAGGGAGGGAGCATCCCCCGGGCCCGGGGGACAAAGGGCGGCGGCGCAGGTGGCCCCGCGGCCGGCGGCACCTGGCGGGGGCCGGGCGGGCTGCAGGTGGTGCTGCTGAGCCGGGGAGCCGCGCTCCGCCAGGAGAGCCCGGCAGGAGCGCCAGCGGGGGCCCTGCCAAACGCCTGCATTTATGCACAGCAAGTGTGCAAGGCTCGCCAATTGAGAGGCAGAGGCAGCGCCGCTCGGGCTTAGGTATTCTAACCCTCTCTGAATATAATTTCGGATTTAGAGGCGGCTTAAATCCAGAGGGAAAACACTTTATAAGGCTGAAAGCTGTGTGGTTGCAACAGCCGGGGTTATGAGCTATCAAAGGCAATTACATTAAAATAGATTATACTGCGTAAATTGAGCCATTTAGAAGGTGAGAACCAAAGGAACAGCTCCGATCCCCCTTCTTTCTAAATTGCAGTTTTAGTTCCTTGCAATTCTGAGGCACAAAAGTAGGTGAGACTGCTTTTGTATCTGCAAAGTGCTTTATTTCTGAGTGTAATTCTAACTGAGTGCAATCTAGGTTAAAAGCTGGACAACTGGGTAATTAGAGCTCACTCGCTGCTAGAGGACGATCAGCTGTACCGTAGCTCATTTGTGTTCCCAGAGACTTGCTCTCCTCTCCCCTGAGCGGAGGCTGCTGGAGAAGAAGCATCCGTGCCCGGACTTTTCTTGATTGCGGAGATGATGGTGCTGGACAAGGAGGACGGTAGGTGGGCTGAGATTGTGTGAGCCTGTGCTCGGTGTCTTCCGTCTGCTGCTAATGTAGAAATAAGTAGTTTTGAGACAGATGTGCGCTGTGCATTTCAGAGCGTTCTGCTCTGAGCTTCTGATGTTTTTATCTCGTGTAGGTAAAAGCATGCTTGCTCTTTATTTATTTTTTTTACCTCATCTCTGACATGATCGGACAGCCAAGAAGGGTTTACTCCAGTCTCTGTTTGTTGAAGGACATAGCAGAAACAGCTTGATTTTTCTTTTTTTAAATATCTGTGTAGTTGGTTTTTTTTTTTCCTGCAAGTTACTCTAATGTATCCATTTTAGTCTGTTTGTTTTAACAGCTTTTATTGTAAATCTAATTTTGAGATTTTTCTTTCCCTTTCATTTGCATGCCATTTAGGTCTCTTTAATGCGCGCCTTTAATATCTATTTCTCACAGCTTTTCTTCATAGCTATAAACATAATGACAATAAGCTAATAAGCCTCTGTGGCAAAAAAAAAAAAAAAATAACCCAAAAAGCATCAGTTTATTCTAAGAATTTCCTCCCTTTTTTTAATAGCAGAAGCGGAGGTTCATTTGGGTTGTAATTTTATGAATGAAGCTGAAGGAGAGCTTGACTGATTTTAGGACTTCACATATGCTTATTTTTTTAAGCTGACTAGTCCTTATCAAGGGTGCTTAAGGGGAACAAATTGATGTGAGGGATATCAGACAGTGTTAGTTAGCAGCCTGAATGACCTGATGCTATCTTTTGCACTTGCCTGCCAGGGTGTGCAACTTAACTGCTCAGTCAACAGTAGTTACTGGGACGAAGGTGGTAAGTCCGATCACAACTTTTTAATGAGGTTTTTGGGTTCGTTTTTTTTTGCTAAGGCTGCTTTGTGGCTTAGGTCTTCCCTCATAGCTCATACACTGAAAGCAAGGATTGAAACTGAGGCAGAGCAGAAGGCTCCTGTAGCCATCCACATGGACTTCCATCCATGGCGCTGCTTCTTGCCAAGGACCTCCGCCTTGGCGTGGCACTTTGTGCATGGAAAGTGGGAACTGCGTCTTAACTTTTAACAGCTAGCATTTCCAGCTATTATCTCCTTATTTCATTCCACCTGTAGAAATGGATGAAGTGGGCTGTGGAATGGATTTCCCTGATCTTTTAAAATTTATTTCAGAAACCTCTTTAACTGTTAAAAAAAAGAAGGAAAAGTCATAGGCTGTTGCCATTTGAAAGGAAGAGAAATCACTGAATATTTGTAAGACTGTAGACAGGAAACAGCTTTTCACAGGGAGCAAAAGAGCTTGGAGAAATTGGAAGTTGGGCTTTTTGGCAGTAGCATTGATTTTACTTAAATATATGTATTGCTTTTTAAAATATTTATGAGGAAAATAACTTGTGATTCAAAGTCACATACTTTCATGTGTTGGGGTCATGCTAACCATGTTTTGTGACTAGTTCTGAAAGCTGCTCAGTGCTATTAAGTTGAAATTATATGATTTTTATTCCCCAACCCATATCTGTCTTCTATTATTTTACAACTGAATTAGTACTGCACTGGAAAATAATTAGGAAGGCTTGACTATTGAAAGACCAGAAGTCTTCTACTAAAGTTTCTCTTCCCTCTTTCCTTGCCTCCAAAAAAAAAGGGAGTATTTTAGACCTAGAATTTTGAGTCATTATAAGTTTGATTTTTAAAATCTCTAAAATTTCTAAATTCTCCCTCTGACATGTTCACACATGTAGAATTTGAATCTAGTTTCTGGGATGGCATGTGAGGTTTTGTTTCATGTAGCATTCGGGACAATGAAATAATGTGGGCTTTTCACAAAGACTTGACACCTTTAAAATACGAGACCAAGTAGAAATGCATCATTGTCAGTGCCCCCTGGTATGCAGATTCAATCAGATTTGGACTAAGAGTTGACCAATGTGAGATCAAAGTCCCTGTATTAGTTGTCATGCCCTTCTGAATTTATTCCGTCCTAATTAAGTTGGCATCCCAAAACTGTGAAATAATCTAATTGGTAGGGGGGGAAAAAAAATAAATCCCGGGCTTTCTTTCTGTTAAGATCTCATAAGTTCCTTTGTAAACACAGTAGAACTTTGAAAAAAAAATGAGTAGACGTGGAGCATCTGTTAGACATCTTCTAGATCAGCTTTGCAGTTGACTGGCCTGTGGATAAAAGACACGCTAAGTGCTTGAGTATTGCTTATGCTGGGAAAACAAATGAAGCTAACAGGGTTTCAAAGGCTTTGAAGCAGTGTCACTCTAAGAGGTGTTCAGTTGTTTTCTTTGGCAATATAAGTTGAAGCAAGCTAGTTTACTTTATTAGAGGCATAAGGCTACTCTTGTAACCTTTCTCTGACTAAGATGAATTTGGCTGACTGACCTTGATTCATTCTGGACCACACGTGTTGTGCTGGGTTTGGGGGTTTTTTGGGTTTTTTTCTCCCCTCCTTAAGATTCATCTCTTTTAAAGGGCGGCAGCATTTTCTGTATTTTGTTAAATCTCCCTTTTCAATTTGTGCCTCCCTACAGAACTATGTTCTGCTATGATGGAGCAATGCAAATCAAGCAGAATAGCCCAAATTAATTCTTCACATTGGCGGCGATATGATTGCCTGCATGGAATCAATAATGCATCATAGAGGGATCAAATTTTGGAGTATAATGTGTGAATAATGCTTGACACAAAACAAAAATTCAGTCATCATAATAGCAATTAGGAAAAAGCTGCAGCTTATCCCAGCTGTAATCTCTGCTAACAATGAAGCACAGCCTGGTAATCAGCATGTATGGTATGAAATGCACTAATAGAAATCACGGCTCTTTGTTATGTGTGTGGGGGGTGAAAGTTTCCTTTTCAGCTAACTTGTGCTGTGTTAACCAGACATGGCATCCTTCAACCTAATTGTGGAGTGTGTGTGCACTTGTAAAAACACTGATCAGCTGTGTGTTCCTCCTGATGTTTGCAGAGACAGGAGCACCCCAAATCACGGGTCCTTTGTGTTTTCGAGCAGAACTCTGATTAAACAGATCGCAAGAGTAGGCTGAGTAAATAACATATCAGAGGACTCCATTAAACATGTACCTTGGTTCTTATATAGAAAGAAAATCTCGTAGTTTCTTTTAAAATGAGAAGAAAACATGGGTACTGAGTGGTTGTGTGCACTGGGGTTGGAGAATGCGTCTTAGGTTGATGAGAGATATTTAAAGCAATGAATATTAGGTAATTTGAAACTGGATTAGTGGCAGCAGTTGCGTTCCCTGTTGTGTGAGAGCCCATCTTGCCCCACACAGAAGGTAAAAAACCGCAGCATTTGGAATTAGAAAAGCAGAGAAATGGATTGTATAATGTCAGTGACAGGAATTCGTGCCACAGCGGCCTGGCCAGGACAGCAGGGCTGTGGGCTGGCTTCACAAGGCACTGTGCCAGCTGCCATAAGGAGGTACCTATAGATAGGTAGATGGGTATGGAGAGACACCTATCTCCAGCAACACAGGTCCAAGCAATCCTGTTCTGCAGATAAGAAGTCTTTCTACACACTAAAATAGAGCAGGTAGAAATGGTGTCGCGTAGGAAGAAGAGCTGTTCCGCGTGCTGCTGGTATCTTTTGTTTTCCCTTGAGCGTGCCTTTCTCAGGTGCACCTGTTGAGGGCTCATGCAGAGAAAGGGAGATGGCACGGTGGCTTTTCCTCACGTGGCATGGAATTTAACTTTTCTGTTGCCTAATGTTCCTGAAGCTCTGTCTCTTTTTCCTTTCTATCTCCTGTGCCACTCTACCTCGGACCTTATCTGAGGTCCACTAATGTCTAGCTTACCATACATGGAGAGTCCCTACACATCTTCCCAGACACCAGTTTGTTCAAAAAATGACTGATAAAGGTCACCAAAGTCCTTATTTTTGCCTATTTAGCTGAGTTACCTGTCGGTTTTTTGAGGGCTTGATCTTCACACATACGGTTTTGGTGTGGTTTTTGGAGGTCTGGTCTGGCTTCAGTTCATGACACAGCATCCTTTTGTGACTCAGAAGTACAGTAATGACTACTATATTCATGAACAGGAGATAAAAAGTTGTTAAAAAAGTATTCTAGATAAAATCGGAGCACACTGGGCAGCAGAACATGAGACTTGGTTTGGCCATAAAGGACCAAAAATCCATTTGGACTCTTTCTCCAAAGCTGACTGAGTGTGGAGCTAGAGACAGTTCTTCCTGGAGATTCCTTCTGCCCCTGAAATGGCAAATATTGGAAGCATGGCAGAACCACGGGGTAGTAAAGTAATTGCCTAAACCTATTCAAGAAGTGGAGGCTGCTGTAGTTGGAGCACTGATAACCAAGATACCCATGTAAAGAAATCCCGTCCTAGGGGAAGAAGTGGAAGGAGGTAGCAGGCCTGAGAGGAGAAAACTGCTTTGTATAAGGGTATGGCAGGCAATCAAATAGGTCTTAGTGTTTGTTCAGACTAGATAACTGAAAGATCTGGGTGAGATGTCATCATACTTCATCCCCAGGTACTGTTGACACGTGATAATTGCCTGGTTGACATAACAAGCCTTGAAACAGTGTGAGGACATTTTTCAGCTTGGGTAATAAGGCAAAGGAAGCAGCTTGTTTTTGGAAATCGGGTTGCTCTAATTTTGGTTTAATGCAGTAGAAAGTCTACTTGATACCCTGGCAGCAGAACATAATTCGTCTTCTTTGGAGTTAGTGTTAAATTTTATTATCTTTAATAAATACAATGTGAACATGTCAGCCTGTTTGTCATAGCCATTCCAAAAATGCTCTCTTATGGTAGAATCTTCGGAAAAATTCCTTTTAAGAGCAGTGCATTATTAATAAAGTAATCCATTAGGTCTGGTGATAAAGGGTCACAGCAGAGTCTGAAATACGTTTCTGAAATGGTTAAGAAATTTATCATGGTTGGAGGATTAATTGATTTCATTTGTAGGCTTTCTTAAGGTTTTCAGGCGTTGTGTTTAGAGATGGTTTTCTTCT